ACAAAAAACAACTTGGTAACTTTTTATCATCACCGAGCAGAACTTGCATTATTTCCAATCCCGATTAATTATGCATATACTAATGCTCACTCAATACAAGGCCCAAGAGCCATTCAATGTAGAGGGCTACTGTATGGTGCTGTAAGAGTATAAGAAAAGACAAGAAGTGAAATTCCCGGGGTTATGTAGGAAAGATAACGGTTAGCCCTAGACTTGAAGAGGTCAAGATTCTAGTGATTAGGAAATCATCCTCCCGGGAGTCAATTCCACAAAGCAGCAGTACTTGGGAAGAAGCTGTCCGAATGGAACTTACTTCTTACTATGTAGGAAAGATATCAAGAATGTAGTAATTGAGAAAACAAAAATCTTTTAAATAGTTTTTAGGAAAACAGGTCTCTCATGTTTACTGTTATCGTTCTTTTTTGTATTGATGGGAGTTTCCTTTCTAATCTTTTGTTTTTGGTTATATGGAAAACCAAAATTCTGATTGTATCATTACTCTCTCTTCAAGTTACATGTATTATCCATTTTAGTTGTTGCTGCTTTTGTCATCAAGTAATGTGGCTTTTGTTATTAGTATGATTCTGTAGCGCCAGTCTATAATATTTGATGAAGGATTGTCTTCTTCTATAATGTATATTTTTATATTAATGTTCACTTAATATAAGGCACAAGAGACACTCAAGGTAGAGGGTTACCGTGTGGTGTTGTATGAGCAGAAGAAAAGGCAAGAAGTGAAATTCACGGGGTTATGCAGGAAAGAAAACGGTTAACCCTAGACTTGAAGATGTCAAGATTGTAGTGATTAGGAAATCATCCTGTCTGTAGTCAGTTCCACAAAGCAGCAGTTTTTGTGAATGGAATATGAAAGAAATGAGGAATTGTACACGTGGCATGGCGGTTTCCAGTTGAAGAAAATATGCGGTCAAATGAGTTCCAAACACATACGTTGGAATTTCATATGCTATGTCCCCGAGTCTTTCTTCGGCTTTTCTATTCAGAATCCATTCTCTTTTTTTATGCATGTCTTTCTCAATGGAGGTCGTTATACTTCCAAAGATTTCTTACTTTGAGCGCCTACTGGGACTTAAGTCCACCCATTCCAGACCTCAAGTGGAATATATATGATCCATCTCTAAAGATGTTGGAAATATGGTCGGTTCTTTCTGTCACTCCAGAAAGTACCTGACTTTTCCTGACATTCTTTATCTTTACAAGAGTTATTATGTCAGACCAAAAATGGAATATTGCCGTCATATCTGTGTTGGCGCTGCACAATCCTCACTTTCCTGCCTTGATACAGTTCGAAAGAATCTACTCAGCCTCGTAGGTGATGAATTATTTTCAACTCTGCAACCACTTTCCATGGATAAAACGTAGAACGCTACTCTATCGCTATTTTCATTGAAAATGTTCTGATAAGCTACATCCTTTAGTTCCACCAGTTCAGACCTTTACAGCTAAGCCTCTTGCTGCTTTATCGTTATTTCCATGGAAAATGTTCTGATGTACTCTTAGTTCTACAAGTTCAGACCTTTACAGCTCAGACCCACAATGTACGAATAATCCTCACCCTTTTTGTAAATTATTGGTAAAATATCCTTCCGTTTCTTTCAGACGTCCAAGAGGATACTTTTCCGATCATTAGAAGCGCATTAGATTATTATGGTCTTTATTTACAACAATCATTTTATATTAACAAAACTATAAAAATATGTAAACATCTCTGTTAATGGGTTCGTTTTCTACGGCTTTTCAGCAAGTTGCAGGTTATTTAAAGCCAGGTAATTTTTTTTAGGTTGTAAGAATTGAAATTGGAAGAATTTTGGAGATAGTATTATATTGGTAAAATGTTCTTCTGTTCCTTTGTGGGACAGGCTCCCAAGAGGATGCTTCTGCGATCACTACACTCTTTATTCTAGGTTCAACTATCCTACATAACTTCATAACCTGCACTTCTTACATGTTCCTCTTACGTCCATACAACAACCTAATTCGGTAAATTTCTACCTTGTGTGTCTCTTGGGCCTTGTGTTGGGTGAACAGTAATGTTTTAAAAACGCACTTTACTTACCACCTGAAACAACAAACTTTACTTACCACCTGAGAAATATATACTCATACAGCAATATGAACTGACAAAATGTTCCAGAAATCACAATTTCTACGTCTATGTACCGTGTCTCTTTAGGTCGTGGGTAATCATGGCTTTTCACAACCTGTCATCCTTTGTAGCTCTTAGTAACGTTTTTCGCTTAACTATCCTTTCCGCTCTCTATTCCATAATTCAAGTAAGTTAGTCACTGTTTACCTCTGTCCATCTTGCCTTCAATATGTCCTGTGAGTGTCTAATTCTCCAAGCGCTATTTCCTCATTATGTATCCCAGAAAATTTCAGCTGAATCTTTCTGATGCTAAGTATATGAGTTCTTTTTGGTTCCATTTTCTCTAAGATATCGCCGTTGCTCCCAATTTCAGTCCATGGTATTCTCAGTATCCTTCAGTAGAACCACATGTTTGATGCCTCAAGTCTGTTTTGATTCCAAGCATTTTTATTTTCGGTATCTTTAATTGTTTAATAGTTTTTTTTTATTTCTTAAAACTCGTAGGTTTTTTGTTGGCTTCTCCTTCTCCTTGGTAGAAGGTTCAGATATAAGGAGATACCTGATATGAAATCTGGAAAAGGCCCTGTCATCAAGCAGCATCAAGAACATCTAGAAAGCCTTAGACACATAAATACTTGATACACAATATATATATCTCCAGAAAAGATGACTTAAAAGATCGTTTTCTTACGTACTATTCAACCTGCTACTGCTGCATTGGGTATTTTGAAAGGTTTATTTGAAAAACCCATATGAATACATCCAAAAACATATGTCATGTCACCAGATTCTCATGGATTTTCTTGATTATTTTCCACAAATGTAGATATAGTTCCAATTGAATGAAAGGTTTTAGTTCCAAATAAAGAAGGATTCAAGTGTGCTGGTCCAAATAGTAAATCTTATAATAATCAATAAATTTTGTATTAATTAGTTGTTAATGAGCATGAATTTCAAACGTTCCTAATTTTATAACTTTTCCTTAAAGTTATCAGTCTGTTATTGTTGTCTAAAATTCCCATTCACAAAGAAATGATAGAAAAGTTTAACAAACATGCCCGCAAAAAAAAAAAAAAAAAAGAAAAAAGAAAAAACAAAACAAAAAACAAGAGAACAAAAAAACGAAACAAAACAAAAAACAAGAGAACAAAAACAAAAAAAAAACAACAACAAAAAACGCCGTTTTTTTCCCTTGACACCGTTATTACCGTATACTATCTCAGTAAATTTTATTGTTTAAAAGTAAAACAAATATATTTTTAGAATGTTAAAGAAACCCAAACATATGAAACCGGATTTAATTATTCGTCCTTATGTGTTTATTTAAATTTTCATGTTCTATAATTCACAGACATTTTTATAAATAAAAAAATGGTGGATTCATACCTCTCGCAACGGTACTTGTACGTAAGTGAATACAACGAACTCAATTGGAATTGAACTCGGCTCTCCGATTAACAATTCCCAGCCGCTATCCAAGATTACAGCACTTGCTATAGATAAGCGGTTACCCATCTAAGTACTGACCAGGCTTGATGTTGCTATACTTTGGTGATCGTACGGGAACCGGTGTTTCAACGATATATCGCTGTAATCCTCGAGCTTAGGTGTTTAATACATTTAATGCCCTTTTTTACACTGATGTCTCCCTCCCCCTACAAGGCCAAAGAGCCACCAAGATGCAAGAGAGTTTAAATCGGTAGACGAAATAAAATGCTGTCTAAAAAATAAATGGAGCATCTACTCAAATACGATTATCCACTAAAAAACAACTTTTAAAGTAATATATATATATATATATATATATATATATATATATATGTGTGTGTGTGTGTGTGAGAGAGAGAGAGAGAGTCAGTGCGAATGTGTGTGTGGTTAGTTTAACGGTTATTGGGATGTAAAATGTAACAGACTAGACTTAAAATCCTTGTCTATTACTTCACGCCGATGCCCAAAATGCATGACTCCATCTTCATCCAGATCCTCATTCGCCTTGGTTGGCAATCAGTCTAGAGGCAAAACTCTAATCCAAACCTGAGTCGGGTTGTTTGAAAACTTCCTACGACACTGTGAACAATTTTGTCTGTTCTCAGTACTTCCGAAAAGTGTGTCAACACACAAGCATTCTCCATAATAAAATCACTTGCAAGGTTAATCGAAGAGAGATAACACACACACACACACACACACACACACACACACACACACACACATATATATATATATATGAAGAAGTATAGTCTTAAGGTGTGCTATATTTATGGAATAAAGTGCTCAATATCAGAGAAAGAACATAGAAGTCAAACTTAAAAGTGAACAGAAGTTTCATGCTAGATGCAATCGTCAGGCCACGAATCCATATATATATATATATATATATATATATATATATATATAATCATCATCATTATCGTCGTTGCCGTCGTCGTCTTTCGTTTTCTCTTTTATCAGCTTTGATTTAATCAACTTCTTTGCTTTTTTTGCTTTCTTCTTTTTCTTCTTCTTCTTCTTTACTCTCATCAACTTTCTTCTTTACTCTGATAATTATCTTTTTCTTTGCTTTCTTTTCCTTCTTTGATTTTATCATCATCATCATCATCTGTTTTTACTCTTTCGTCATCCTTTCCTTTGATTTCATCGTCTATTTTGATTTCTTCAGCGATTTCTTGGCTTTCATCGTCTTTACATTTATTTATAGTTTTCTTTTCTTTGTTCTCGCCATCTTCTCCTAGGTTCTTCTTCTCTTCTTCTTCTTCTTCTTCTTCTGCTCAGGACTTAGCACTTAACAGATATTTCTATACTTACCATTTGTATAATATCTTTATTTCTATTCTTTATTTCCAATGTTGAATGTACCTTTGGTGAAAATTGTTCGTCAGGTTCCCATTTGTACAGGTCAGCCAGTACAGAGTCCTGGTGCGTTATGGTGGGCGGCGAGAACACTTGAAGCTGGTCTGGGCGACAACAAAAAGTGGGAGAGGAGAGGCGGTGACGAGGTGCAGAGCCAAGAAATCAGGGTGTGGTCGATCTTGAAGGAATGAGCGGGAGGTACGAGCATTGAGTGGGAAAAGGCGGGAGAATGATAGTAATTGCCCGCAGAAAAGAGAGGGCGCGAAAAAACTGTGGGAAAAGGTAGGCTGGGATTTCTGCTTAAAACACCCTGACCTCTGAATGAATTTGGGGAAATAGGTAAACAAGAATTAAAATGAGAGGGAGTAAAAGATAGATAAATAGATAAATAGACAGAGAGAGAGAGAGAGAGAGAGAGAGAGACAGAATAAGAATAAGAATTTGGCGGTTTGGAAAAGATCTAAAAAGATATATATCTTTGTTCGTGTAGCAAATTTTACAACTAGACAAATACAGACGAGCTACATTCCTTAGTTCCACCAGTCCAAGGATTTACAGCTAGGGCCCATTATGCCACGTACACTGGGACGAATCGTCCTTACTCTCTTCGTATTCCATTGGTAAGAAAGAAGTTCCATTCTGACAGCTTATTCCCCAAGAACTGTAGAACAAACTCCCGAGATGATGCTTTCCTGACAGCTGCAATCTTAACCTTTCCATGTCTCGGGTTAGCGGTTATCTTTCTTACATATCCTCATAATCTGCAATTCTTACCTCATCCTTTTACATCCATATAATCTCATTCAGTAAGATTCTAGCTTAAATGGCTCTTGAGCCTTATATTGGGAACAATAGTAAAAATACCAACAGAATGAAACAAATATCGTCTGTAGTTGATAAAAAGACATTTTTTTACTGATGTTTACTCAGTACGAGGCCCAAGGGCCACTCAAGACAGAGGGTTATTGTGTGGAGTTTTATTGGCGTAAGAAAGGGCAACATAACAGGAAAGATAGTTAACTCTAGACTTGAAGAGATCAGTATTTAATTAGCGAGTAATATTTCAGAGTTCAGGTGGAGGCGTTATGAGTATAGAGCTGAATTAGACTTCAGAAAGAGCCGGAAACCCAATCCTAAACAGGAAACAAGGGATGAACATCTACTGCTATTCAAAAGACTGCTGAGGAGTACGAATCAGACGATAGATTTACTCAACAAAGACGTCCGTTACATGGGGTGAAATGCAGCAGAAAAAAAAATTAAAACACGAATAATGTACATGTTTGAAATTGTTTAAATACCAAACGTTTTTACCCTGTCTTCTGGCTAGGATCAAAGTATAGTATCTGCTCTCTCCGCATCCGTGTTTCTGCCTTTAATTTCTGCGTTCAGGGTCGGGTTCAGAGTACTCTGACGTAATTTGCCTGGGATTAGTTAATAGAAATAACGCAATATTCCATTCGTATAGCACTAAGCTAAGTTTCTGGGGTGGAGGAGTGTTCACTGCTTTTATTTTTCATTTTAAACAGTCCACTGAAACGCTGTGAAGGTACTATTGTCCTGGGGTCTCCGATCTCGCAGCAGCACCTCCCTCATTGAACTAGATGGTTGGTTTAGTTTATTTTGTTTTACGGCATATCAACACATCAATGGGTTATTTAATGCCGACAAGATTTTTAGAATTGGTTCGTACGAATAGAATATTTATACTTTGTAAGTAATCAGTTTGTAGATCAGGTTTCATTGACATATTTTGTCCATAGTCAAATGTATTGCTGCTAATATACTTTTTTTTAAAAAAATGTATTGCTAGTAATGTAATTTTTTTTTTCAGAAGATGTATTGCTGGTAATATTTTGTTTTTCCAAAAATATATTGCTGGTATTTTTACGATAAAAATCTATTTTTATACTTTCGTAGTGTTTCGAAGCCAATTTTGGGGTTCACTATTTGCCCATAGCTGGGACCCTAACAGGTGCTACCACCTCGTGTCAGGGAAAACCTGAGAACAATAGTAACTAAGAGATGGTTCGACGCTCCTCAAAACATTCCGATCAGAGGCCTTGCTGCCAGATGTAGTTTATCGTCAGACCAAAGACTGATTGAAATAGAAATAGATGGTTGGTGGAATTTCGACGCCACCGTGACGTTGGTTGCGGGGACTGAGCAATTTTAGACCTTTGCCCATGTGAATGCGCTTGGACTCCCAATTTTAAACCTGCCTTGTGTCATATCCCATCACTGTGGAGCTGGGGGAAGTAAATACCAAGTGTAGTATATGTCCTTTCCGTATCCGTGATTATGTCTTCATCCATTTCGCGCAAAAAGCAATAATGGAAGCCTAGTTCCTGAGATTCCAATCCTGCGGTAGTATATGTTCTATTGCAGTAAAGGGGGGGGTGTCAGTTTCGGAAGACTCTGACGTAAATTGCCTGGGATTAGTTGGAGGAAATGACGCAGTATTCCATCCAAATGACTCTAAGCTAAGATTCTTAGCTAGAGGATTCTATTCATTTTTTATTTCGAAAGGTTCACTGAAAAACTTTGTAGGATTCATAGCCCCGGGACTCCAAACTTGCAGCTTTACCTCCCTCATTACACTAAACAGGGTGAGTTGGTGAAATACTGACGTCAACGGGACAGTGGTCGCTGGAACTGGGAAACTTTTGTGCTTGACCCATATGTACGCGTATGGGCACTTTGCATTACCCCCCTCCCCCCACACACCAAAAAAAAAAAAAAAAAAGAAATAAATAAATACCATGTCACATTGTACCCTCGACGTGAGGCGGGTAAATAGCAACTTCCATCACGTGACACTTCAAATTTTCATGACAACATTACTGATTAGTGAATCGATCTTGAAAGCCATTGTTAGTGAGTTTGCTAGTTTTTTTTTTGTCAGAAATAATTGTACCATTGTGCAGAGATGAAAGATTTAATTTGGATACAGTAGCCGTTCATATGACACGAATTCTGTTCAACCATGTTTGGCTTACAACTGAGCTTAACTTAGTCCGTAACGTTGTGGCACCAAGTAAAGGTCGGGCCGTTTTTTCTATATTCCAGCATATAGTTCGTGCATATGCCGGTTGATGTATATGACACTGCATTCAATTGCTACGTCGCATTCTCCATCAGAGTGGTTGAGCTTATTTTTTCGTACGCATTTTTTACTTGTTGTTCGTCCTAAACATTTGGCTATGCGCTGTATTTCTGGCATTTGTAGCACCTTTAAAGGGGGGGGGGTGCATTAATCTACTTTATCAAATTTGATTTCTTTTGGCAGTTGTTGAAGTTAACACCGCAGATTGCTACAAAACCAAAGCATTAACGTCAAAACCCGAGTCATGTTCTTAAATAGCCACATCAGATGGAGACTTTCATATGGTATGTCATGCATGGCACCAACGCCGTTCAGAAATATATAAACTGTCTTTTGTATACAATCGCTTTCTAAGATAAATGGTTAAGAATGGTTTTGAGAGAGTAAGGTCTATCGCTCATGATCAAAACCCTGTGGACGGGCGCTTGAGAATCACAAACTGTTGTAACCTAGGAAAGGTTACTGAATAGAATAATCAAACGAAGGTTGGTAATGAACGATAATAATTAAGACAAGAACAATACATATAAGATTCGCCAGCAGCGAGTTAGAAGTAGTAGTCAACTGCTAGAAGTGAGTCAAGTGACTTCCACAATGAATCTACAACTGCAGGATATCTAACAACCGCTCCCTGTGGTCAGATGTGGCACAAGGCCGAATTTAATGTGGAGTATCCGAGCTCGTAGGCTCAGCCAAAAATTCCCCGTCAACCCCGTATAAAACGGGGTCGGGTAGCTGTTTCCGAGACTCTGCCCTTCGACATAGGCTCGTCTGGGGATCCTTTCTGCCTGAAGTTAGAGAGTTTGACCAGCACAGCTGGAGACGAATTTCCAACTGCTGATCAACATACAGTGTGTACTACTGTATTTATGTGAATGGGGACATACCCGTTATCATCCGAAGGTATGCTACAACACAAACAAAAACAGTAGCAAATAGCAGAAACAACATCACTTGAGAACTTTTAACAACAGGTACGGTTGAAATGGATATCACATGTAACAAAAAATAAAATAATGATATAATTAAAATGTTGACATCCTACACTACTTCCACTAAAAGGTTAGGAAGGAAAGACCCATCAATACTAGAAAGAAGGATAACAGCTAACAGATTGGCGAAACTTATTTTTCTTGAAAATTGTTTTAAGAGAAAGATTTTATAAATTTTAAGCAACAGTTGTACTGGCTGCTCGGTCAATGAGTGCCGAATGTTTCCTTATAAAGAAACAACTAATATTGCCACTAGAGATGAAGAGAACAGATACTACACTTTTATCACATCCCAATGGCCAAGAAAAGCGTAACTCGAATACCACTAGCTACACTATCAATGAATGCCAAATGTTTCCTTATATATATTACCATTACATTATCATCTACGTATTTGTTTAAATTTGCCTTCCATTTTGTGTTTCTTTTTCTAATGTCTATAGCTTTATGACTTTGAGTCCAGTTTTCATCTCGTCCAATGTGTAGAGAGATAATTCGGAGCTTGTTACAGCGCCCCTCTTTTTTTACTAAATGTTTACCCAATACAAGTCACAAGAGTCACTCAAGTTAGAGGATTACTAAATATTGTTGTTGTATGGGGGTAGGAGTCGGAAAGGAGGATGCAAAGAAGATTATGAGGATACGTACAATAGGTAACAGCTGATCCTAGATTTGAAGATGTTAAGAGTGTAGTATTCTGGGAAGTATCCGCTCGGGAGCTTCTTCCATATTGTTCCTATGTCGGGGTCTTAGCTGTCAATATCGGAAATGGTGGAACGAGTAAACTCGCTAGAACATTTTCCATGGAAATAACGATAGGTTTGCGACTTTTCGTATGTGGGGAAAGGGGTTGTAGGGTGGGAAAATCCGCATAAACGTGTTTGAATTCTGTCGAGGTTTGATCTGACACTTGTAAAGGTAGAAAATGGTTCTTGCTTGTGTTGAGTGTTTGGTTGGGATATGATTTTATTTTTATGTTATGGAATGTGTCCATGTTGAACAATGTTTCCGCTTGCCTCTTTTTTTTTCGATCACTTCGATTTTCTTAAATAGCCTCGTTATAGTTTTCATTTTTAGTCTGGCTTTGGGTTCAATAATGTCACTCCTTCTATATGGTATTGAATGCTGGACAACCTCCTCACAGATGAAGAAGAGACGAGGCAACAGAAATATCGTCCTAGAGAAGAATAAGAACACCTTCAGCCAAACAAGTGACCAACAACCAAGTTTTAGAGAAAATATAAACAGAAAGGACACTCATACCTAGCATCAAGAGACAGTTGGCCTTTCTAGGGCACCTCATGAAGGAGTAGGGCTTGAAAAAATTGATACTTACAGGACATATTGAAGGCAAGAGCGAAAGAGGAAACAACGTATCACTTACCAAACGATCTTAAGTAAATGGATAGCGAAACAGGCTTTAAAAGATATAGCAAAAAGACAACGTCTATTAAGAGTTACAAAGGACAGGAAGTTGTGGAGAGCCATGATCATCCTGTGAGAACACGGCACACAGAAGAAGTGTTTCTTTTCATGGGACATGCAGCCTTAGTTTGTTGAGACATGAAACGTTTCTTTCGCTGGGACATGCATCTTTCTTTTGTTGAAAGAGGAAAGAATTCTTTTGTTTAGACATACAAGCTTTTTATTCTGGTCAATATTTTCCAGCTGTGTCAATTCTATGGTGCAAGCGAGAGTAAGAAGAAGGGAATAAAAAGGAAAAGAAGAAGAAGAAGAAAACAATGTAATTACGATAGCTAGAAAAACAGGAAAATGCGAAGATATTATGAGAATGAAAATACCGAGTAAAACTTGGAAAACATCGAAGATACTCATCTATAAGTCGAGTAAAGATCATTTTTGGCAAAGATATCCTAATTTGTGAAGGGAGAAAAAAGAAGAGAAATAAGGATAGAAGACGTGGGAGAGGAGAAAAGAAAAAGAAAGGAAGAAGAAAAAAGACAAACGAAGAAAAGACATGAAAAATTGGAGGATGAGTGCAAGAGAAGATAGATAGATAGATAGATAGATAGATAGATAGATAGATAGATAGATATGAATAGACTGAAATAGATAGATAGATAGATAGATAGATAGATAGATAGATAGATGAATAGACTGAAATAGATAGATAGATAGATAGATAGATATGAATAGACTGAAATAGATAGATAGATAGATAGATAGATAGATAGATAGATATGAATAGACTGAAAATAGATAGATAGATAGATAGATAGATAGATAGATATGAATAGACTGAAATAGATAGATAGATAGATAGATAGATAGATATGAATAGACTGAAATAGAGATAGATAGATGGATGGAGATGTGGATAGACTGAAATGGATGGATGGATAGATGGATGGATAGATAGATGTGAATAGACTGAAATAGATGGATAGATAGATGGATGGATGGATATGTGAATAGACTGAAATGGATGGATGGAGATGGATGAATAGACTGAAATGGATGGATGGATAGATGGATAGATAGATAGATATGTGGATGGACTGGAAATAGATGGATGGATGGATGGATGGATGGATGGATGGATGGATGTGGATAGACTGAAATAGATGGATAGATGGATGGATGGATGTGGAATAGACTGGAAATAGATGGATGGATGGATGGATAGATAGATGGATGTGAATAGACTGAATAGATGGATGGATAGATGGATGGATAGATAGATGTGAATAGACTGAAATGGATAGATAGATGGATAGATAGATAGATGGATATGAATAGACTGAAATGGAAATAGATGGATGGATGGATAGATGTGGATGGACTGGAAATGGATGGATGGATGGATGGATGGATGGATAAATGGACTGAAATAGATGGATGGATGGATGGATGGATGGATGGATGTGAATAGACTGAAATAGATGGATGGATGGATGGATGGATGTGAATAGACTGAAATAGATGGATGGATGGATGGATGGATGGATGGATGGATGGATAGATATGGATAGACAATAGATAGATGGATGGATAGATGGATATGAATAGAAATAGATGGATAGATGGATAGATAGATAGATGTGATAGACTGAAATAGATGGATGGATGGATAGATGGATGGATGTGAATAGACTGAAATGGATGGATGGATGGATGGATGGATGGATGGATGGATGGATATGAATAGACTGAAATAGATGGATGGATGGATGGATGGATAGATGGATGTGAATAGACTGAAATGGATGGATGGATGGATGGATGGATGTGATGGATGAATGGATGGATGGATGGATGGATGGATGGATGGATGGATATGGATGGACTGAAATGGATGGATAGATAGATAGATGGATGGATGTGGATAGACTGGAAATGGATGGATGGATGGATGGATGGATGGATGGATGGATGTGAATGGACTGAAATGGATGGATGGATGGATGGATAGATGGATGTGGATGGACTGAATGGATGGATGGATGGATGGATGGATGGATGGATAGACTGGTGGATGGATGGATGGATGGATGGATGGATGGATGGATGGATGTGAATAGACTGAAATAGATAGATGGATAGATAGATGGATGGATGGATGGATATGAATAGACTGAAATAGATGGATGGATAGATGGATGGAGAGATGATGGATAGACTGAAATAGATGGATGGATGGATAGATGGATAGATGGATGGATGAATAGACTGAAATAGATGGATAGGATGGATAGATATGAATAGACTGAAATAGATGGATGGATGGATAGATATGGATGGATAGATAGATATGAATAGACTGAAATAGATAGATGGATGGATAGATAGATGGATGGATAGATATGAATAGACTGAAATGGATGGATGGATGGATGGATAGATAGATAGACTGAAATGGATGGATGGATGGATGGATGGATGGATGGATAGATGTGAATAGACTGGAAATGGATGGATGGATGGATGGATGGATGGATAGATGGATGTGAATAGACTGAAATGGATAGAGATGGATAGATAAAAATATACTGTAATAAAGTTATGAAACAGAAGATCCATTTACTTGGTGTTGGTCTACACTCAGAAACCCAAACATTAGTGTATATGACACGGGGTGATTTCTTAGGCATTTTAGAATCTGGTATCAGTCTATGTGATTTTACTTGAAAATACGACTATTTTTCAAATCACACACGTGCGCATGCGCCTGTGTATACAAAGGATGATCGAGGAAGAGAAGAGAAACGAATCTATTAAAAAAGGGAAAAGATGGCGGGGAAAAAGAAAAAATAGAAAAGAAGATAAAAGAAAGAAAGAAAATAGGCTATTGAAAGAAAGTGAAGAGAAAAAAGAAATGAAGAGAAGAGAAAGAAAATAGTTAAATATAAAGAGTGAAGAAAAGAGAGAGAGAAGAAGAGAGAGAGAGTGGAAATGGCAAGAAGAGAGATAAAGGAAGAAGACAAAAGACAGAGAGAAGAGAAAAAAGTGAGACATGATGAGATGAGAGAAACCAATTTGGAGAAGAAGATGAAATGGAGAAAGTAGAAGAGGGAAAAGATAAATAAGGGAAAGAGTTAAAGAGGAACAGAGAGAAACGAAGAAAAAAGAAAAGTGTGGAGGGAGAGAAAGAGAGGGGCAAAATGAAGAGGGAGAGAACAAAAGAGAAATGAAGATAGGAAAAGTGGGAGGGAAGAAAGAGAGAAAAAACAGGTGACGCGGAAAAGAGAGAAAGAAAGAAAAGAAATGAATAACTGGAGGCTGAGTGAAAGCGAGAAACAGTGGCCAAGAGAAAGTCACTCTTTGCTCTATTAAAAACAATGGTTGTATCTCATTATTATTCTCAATTCCAAGTATATTCTAACCATTTACGTGCAAGTATTTTTTGAATCATTTCACTCAAATATAAGCCATAAAGCCACTAAGACGCAAAGGGTTACAGAATATGAGAAAAAGAAGACACCATTAAGGAGAGAGAATAATAAAAGAATAGGAATTAAGACAGAAGATAACGATTGACATTGCATTTAAATTTTTGAAGAGCAAAGTTGACTAGGAAGCAAGAAGCCGGAAGAGAGTCTCACAAGCGACAAGTTCAAGAGAAGAAACTCTTAGCATAGAACTTACGGTTACATCTATCCATTTCAACTTTAAAATAATGAGACCGTGTTGCACTTAAATTTATAAAGTCTAGGTACCATAGAGTAAAGCTGATCAGAACAATTACCATGAAAATATTTATAGAAAAGGCACAGGAAAGGTACATTACGGCGGTGGGAAAGTAACTCAAACTAATATGCCAGATTCTTCCTTGGATTTTATCAAGAATACTAAATATTTAGGTGGAGCACCGGGCCAGATTTTAATGTAAATGATAAATATTGTTTACATCTGGACGTTGCTTTTAAATATGTATGAATTTCGGTCTAACAAAATATTGCCATTGCATAGACGATGAAATCATTAATATCTTAAAATTTTATCTTAAAATTAATATTTTAAAAATATCTAAAATCTCGACCTGTGCACGAGTATATACGATAAGATGGCGCTGCACGAAGAAAGAAAAAGAGAATTGATTCTGATAAACAACCCAGTAGATCCCATGAACAAGATACGAGGTGCATTCCAGAAGTTTTCAGACTTATTTAGGAGAGACATTTATTAATTCATTACAAAACTCTAATCTCCTTCAAAGTAGAATCCTCTGACTTCACTACACTGGTTGTAACGCTCCAGCCACTTCGTGAAGGCCCGATGGAAATCATTGAAAGTGAAGGTGTCCAGTAGCCTTGTGACGGTCTCCTTCATCTTCTCAATGTCATCAGAACGAGATTCTCATTCAGCTCATGGAACAACTAAAAGTCGCAGACAGCAAGGTCTGGTCTGGTCTGGTGAGTAGGACAGTTTTGATGCCCATCAACCATATTCCTGTGAACAACTCGACGTAGTGCAATGGTTAGCAAACTTGCCTCGCTAGAACAATTACGACTGAGTAGTGACTTCACTGAGTGCTCCATACTTTCGGCCTTGTGCCACATCTATGCTACGCTTAGAAAATCACCATCAAACATCTTCCTGCTATAACAAATGAATCTTTCCTTCTCTTCGTCAATTGTCCTAGGAACAAACAAACAAATTTTGCAAATGTTTAGATCTTCTAAATAAATAAGCGAGGAGGCACGGCACGGTGGAGTTAATGGATAGCGACTCGGATTGAAGAATCGGTGAGCCGAGTTCAAATTCCGGTCGAATCCATTATATTACGTGTTAATACTCTTGGGAAAGGTATGAATCCTCTTCTTCTCCCCCAGCGTTGGGTAAATAGCAGGACAGACCGGGTTCTATAGCCTTGGATGGCAACTGGTCTGTCACAGAAAGAACTGCCTACTGCGGGAAAAAATCTGCCTTGTCAGTCGCGTATCGAGAGATACATGATCGTCTATGTGTGTATCACGCATGGCACATATGACTATGACTAAACAAATAAGCGGCAAATTCTGTCTGTCCGTTCGTGTATCTAAAACCCTTCTAACTCAGACTACACCTGCTCTACATAGACATACTATACCTTTTTAGAATCAGGATGACCTTCAGCTTGTGCCTGAACACCCAGCAGTGGCCGAATGAGGAGAGAACAATTCAAATTTTAAAATAACGGAAACTAATTAGTGATTTTTAAAGTTTTTAATTTATATTGAGCTTAAAGTAACACAAAAATTTGTGAATTTAAAAATGTTTGTTTTAAATTCAGTTTAAAATATCTTCAAAACTTTGTGAATTGTGGAAATCAATTTTATTTTTTTTAAATGCCGAGGAATCAGAGGTAAAGTGAGAGCTTTCGTGACGTGAGATTTTGAAGTTCCGCAGAGTTTGTGATTTGAAGAACTCAATTTTCGGCCTAAATTGAAATTTCGACCAAAATCGGTCTTTTGGCTGGAATTTGACTTATAGCCCGAACCCACGTAAAAACTCGGCCTTGTGCGACATGCAATGCTTCTCGGCTTGACGGTCGAACTCTCTGCCTCTGAGCAGGGAGAGACCCGGACGAGGCTCCGCCGAAGGGCAGAGTCTCGTTCTACGGGCATTTTTTGGCCAAGCCTACGGGCTCGGAAAACCCACATTAAACTCGGCCTTGTGCCATATGCAACCCTCGTAGGGAGGTGGCTAGATACAGAATCACGCCGAGCTTTTCGGCTTGACGGTCGAACTCTCTGCCTCTGAGAAGAGAGGAACCCGGACGAGGCTCCGCCGCATGGCAGAGTCTCGTTCATGGAGGTTGACCGACCCGATCCCGTTTATATGGGTTCTACGGGCGTTTTTTGGCCGAGCCTACGGATTCGGGAAACCCACGTTAAACTCGGCCTTGTCCCACATGCAACCCTCGTGGTGGGGGGTTCCTAGATACCGAATCGAGTCGAGCCGATAGTAGTTCACTCCAGACTGACAGTCATACTAACACCTTCCACATCTTGTATTATTATTTCGTGTAATATACCTACGTTATTTCTACTCTTGTGTTCGTGTTGTTCTTCCTTGGTCCTAACCTGGACCATAACACATATATACATATTTGGAAAGGTGACATTTTAAACTTGTCTTAATTTTGAATTTTAAAAGTTTTTATGTTAAAGGTGAAAATAGAGGAAAATAAGGAGCTTTTTCGTCACTTGATGCTATTTCATTTCCGGAAAGGGAAAAAGAAGGTATTTAAAAACAGCGAATGTTGGACGGCATCCTCAAGGATGAAGAAGAGACCCGAGGCGGCGAAGATGTGGTTCTACAGAAGGATGCTGAGGATATCATGGACCGAGCATGTGAGCAACGATGAGGTCTTGGAGGGGATGCAAACAAGGAGGAAACTTATGCTTAATATAAGGAAGAGGCAGATGAAATTTCTGGGACTCTTGATGAGAAAGGAAGGCCTGGAGAATCTGATACTCACGGTACGAATAGAGGGGAAAAGAGATAGGGGAAAGCAGCGCATGACATACGTGGGAGGTCTTGGGCAGGTGGGTGGCGGAGCGTGGTCTGGGGGAGTTGGCAGAAACACAAAGCCTGTTGAGAGCCACAAGGGATAGAGGGAAGTGGAGGGCCATGATCGCCTATGTCCTGAAAGGACACGGCACATAAAAAGAAAGAAGAATTTCTAAATTTTCTTCATGTCCCTACTGCATTCTGCAAATTAGCTGTGACAAGCAGTGTTTAGTTGGGTGCATTCAAAGACTAGTTACAACCGTCAGATTATTAGATGTATTGTAATGATATACTAAAGTTACAATAATCGAGAACAGTTATAGCTGCCTCTGTTAGGGGAACCTCGAGGCAGTGTAATGGTTAACAAGCTTGTCTTGCTCGAACAATTACGACTGAGTAGTGAGTTCAATCCTCTCTGGGTGCCCCCCTACTTTCGACCTTGTGCTGCATCTAAGCTAATCTTGGAAAATCACTACAGCTGCCTCTGCTAAAAATGTCTCAACTCTTCTAGAATGCGTTTCGTACCTAGTTATTAGTACAAAGTCAATCTAACAATATCTAAATCATGATATTAGTAAAAGAGATGAACGCTACTAACTGTAATGTGAATGATGCCAACAACTACCAGTGGTCTTAATCGAATTTAATCTCAATCAATAACTTTTGATCTAAGAGGAGTTGATATGTGGTGACCCCAGTAATTATAGGGTAAAAGTATACCAAAGATTTGTACTCGGTGTCACATTAGACTATTAAAAGAGCTCGGTACCTCAGAGAGTCGACTTAGAACTGGAGTTCTCAACTAGGGAAGATTCCACTTCAGTAGTTTCAGGGGTGGGAGGCGAAAATCTTTTACTTTTTTTTTGTTTTTTTATTTATAGAATATTGTTTATTGATTTACAAAACCATGGAATTCTATTGAACTTTTTGTTTATTGAAGTATGCTTCAGTTTATTGATTTAATAATTAGTTATGAATTAAAACAGATCAGTGTACATGTATTCAAGTTTAAAAATCCAACAACATTTTCTATTGCTATTAATTTGTAAAAAGCTTTTTGTTGTAATATAGAAAGTGTTACTGAATGAGGAATAACCAAAATGAAGATTGGAAAAGAAATAATAATATAACATCAACAAAATACAATACTCGCCAGCGGCGTGAAGTAGGTAAACCACTACTAAGGGTGGACTACTTAGACAACATATTAACCCCCACTTACAATTGTGCAATGTATTTATGAGGATTAGGATATAACCATTAGTGTTCATAGGTACGGTATATAACACTTTTATAAAAGAAATCATGTAAATGTATATGTACTAATAATTCAATTCAGTTGAGCTAGTTTGGACATTCATGAATTTGTCACACAGCCATCACGGTCCTGCATCAAGATCGGAAGGTCATTATGGCAGTATCCTCTGTCATTAAATAGTTGGTTAATGTAGGTGGTTGCTGAGCCTCCAACGCGTCTTGCGCCATGGCTTGGTGTCCAGTACATCACTCGCAACTTCTTGTTTTGCTCGCCAGCATCATCCTACAAAGCGCATTCTACATTAAAGTAAAATTGTAGAAATATCGGGGCTGGGTTCATAGAACTGTGATTTAGTTGGGTAGTCCTTCAATGTGATACGCTTGCATCTTTTCTCTTTGTTATCACCCTTGATTATGGATTGAGAATTTCACTTGATAAACGCAGTCATTAAAACCAAGACTCTCCAGTCGATATCCTGCAAAAAAAAAAAAAAAAAAAATTCAATAATATATGTATATTATTTGGA